TTGCTATTGAAGCAATTACAGTTCCCAAAATGCCAAACTGCCTGTTCTTTTTAAAGTTTTTCCAATTATGTCTTCCCTTATATGACATAATCTGTGCTCAGGTGACCCTCCCTATTCCAAAAACAGCATGAAGATGTCAAGCAGCTGCAGTTCTTAGCTTTTTGCAGTCCTAATGAAGACTTCTCTGCCGAGACTCAAAGAGACCATAGCAGTGAAGGAGAATAACTACCTTACAAAGGCTTAAAACAAACTGTTAAAAAAAAATGTACGCTCCATTTCTAAGATCTTGACATTCCAATATGGCGATGATTGACCCTCTCTATGAATGTTTTTGTTCCTCCCTAACCTTTTTGTCACGTGTGTACTGAATGCAAATGTGTAAACCGTGGACATGGAATGCACGCACAAAAAAAAAAAAAATGTATACATACATGAGAAATATATATATATATATATATATATGAATCCATATCTAGACAACTTTTCAGAGTCTCTAAGGGTGAAGCCATGTGCACCTTGTATAAAAAGCTGGTTATTTAACGTAAAACTATCAGTCAAGTGCAGAGGTCCGTAATATCAGAATGTTAGCATAGTCGTGTCCCTCTTTTATCAACCATTAAGCCATCACTACCCTATCCCAGAATTCCCTAAATTTCCTTATGTTTTTTGCCAGTTAGCTTCTTATCAGTTTCGCCTAATTTTCTTTTAAATTAAGAGCCTTACTAATATTTTTTACTTGTATACCTCATATTTTTTTAAAGTTCCATATCATCCTTACTTGATTTATTTTGCACAAGTGTATACTGCTGAACATGTACATATCTCTCGTTAACACACTGCTATTGTAAGATATTGATTTGTGTATTTATGGATTTATATTTCGGGTATTTCTTTGTTTAATGTTTGGTATTATTATTATTATTTATACCTTTACATCATTTTTTTTCATATGCTTCCCCTCCCCCTGAAGCAATAGCATGCTAATCCGTACAGAGCACAATAATTTTGCATTCAAGTTCCTCGTCACAGATGTTATTGTCATACATAGACAGGTAAAATAAGTTGCTACAAACCCCAATAAACTACACCATCACCATCTCGCCCATCCAGATGTTCCAAAAAAACACATTTACTGATATGTAGATCCACCTAGCAAAAGGGTTTGAACTAATTTCAAATGTTCTATGCAATAATCCATGTAAAACCTTTTCCCACTGCGACATCCCTCACCGATACTGCATTACGATATGTTCTAATATGACTAGGGACATGTTTGTATTTACCTTGTATGTATGAAAATATCGAACTACTAGATTTCTTTCTTATTATTTTAGTGGCATGTTTATGAAAGCCCTCGTCTTCCCTAGTTTTCAGGGAATCTGTTGCCAAAGGGTTAACTGTGTGGACTGTTGGTCTTGGACATCCACCATCTCTGTTGCTTGCAGCATGATTCTGCTCAGCTCTCTTTGGCTCTTTGTAATGCTGTCATTCGCTCTTCGTGTCTGCAGTTTGATCAGGTGACAAGTCGGGCACACAGCTTATGCACTCGTTATTTCATCTCCTCCAACAGGGAAACAGGTTTGGTTTGCGAATGTTGTCGTGTCCACACAGGACACACAGGTCTTCGTGCGATAGATATCTGCTTACCACCGAGAGATGGAAAATAAAGACCATTATTACGATAGCAGAACATGACGTGATCTTAAAGGCACGTGGATGTGTAAAATTGATAATGTCATCACAGTCTAAACTATGCTTTGGAGAAGATTCAAAGGCGACTTGCTGTAAACGTGATCACTGTACAGTATGTAGCATGAATTCACCTCCATGCCATTCATATGAAAATCAGGGCATGCACATTGAAAGCACAAACATCACCATTTGAGTTTGCGAGGTGCGTTGATTAGAGGTGAATCTTTTCCTTTTTGATACTGGAATGTTGTTTAGGCAATCAAGACGCTATGATGAAGAATAATAACTCTTCTACATCACTGTTACCATGGAGATATTCAATAACAAGTGCATGAGCCAAAGTTGCCACCACAAAAGCCGGCCACAGTGATAGATAGAAATACGCAAACACGGACATATCTTCACAAACAGGCATGTAAACACACAAACACATACACACACATATAGACTAACTGTCGCTGTAAATACTGACTTTGGTTATTTTGTACAGTGTTTAAATATCATGAGTAAAATGATGGCCGTCTTGTGCAACTTCACGCCGGCCTTGCTGCCAACCTTTTGTGCTTTTGTGTATAAAAGAATAATGATGATTATTGTTATTATTATGAGAAAAAAAAATATCATAGTATATATGTTGCTGGCTCTCAATGACTGTTGACTACAGTGGGGAAAAAAAAATCCGAAAACATTTGGTCTGTGTAGGGTTTCTATACTATTGTGTTTGTTAAATCTAAATACAATGGAAAAATATGTAAGTGGCTTCCATCATGACCGTGCCAGAAAAGAGGGTTCAGAGTGAATAAACAGATGTATTATAAATTCAAAAGGGAATTGGGTAAAACAACACGGGGGGAAAAAAGTGAAAAATTCTCTCACGGATGAAGATTCACTCACTGTTGTAAGTGCAATGGGCTAAATGTGAGTCCAGTATTCATTGTGAAATATTGTGTTCTTTTCAATGTATTCCTGTTAAAAGATAAATTTTTGGTGCATCATGTCATGTAATGTGATTATGAAAATAATGAACCTGCAATTTGTTTCCAGACTGGAGAAGAATAAAGACAAAAAACTAAAATTGACATGGTCTCTTGTATTGGTGTCTGTCACTCACTGCAGGAAAATGACATTTTGGAGAAAAGGTACGTCAACCTCTCTTTCTTATCCTAAGATCTTATCCCATACTTCAATTTAAAATGCCTAAACTTAAGTAACAAAGTTTGGTTGTGTAATTCATCTTGCACCATTTGTGCTAACACACATGAATTATAGGCCTACACCAAATCATGCGGCATGTTGAGGAGTAGAGCTGGTCCACATTGCAACGTATGTAATTTAGGAACTGCATATGCATTGATAAAATCCACACAAATTCACTATTTGAAGATGCAATTTTTGACATGACCTCTAGGTGTCATCAGAGGACCATTCGTCTCAATGTGAGCTATGCAATGTAACATATGAAATGTGGAATAATTTTGCATTTTGAAATGAACTTTGCGGCTCTGGAATCAAAAATAGCAAACGCCCACTCACTGAATAATCAATATTTTGTGCTCTGATAATTCAATTCTTTCCCCAAAGGCCACAAACAAGGGCGACAATTGATTTTGTTTGGCAATCAGCGTTCCCATGTGAAAGAAAGGATGAGAACAATAATGATGTTGTGGAAAGACAACATGCCTGCTATGCAGAGATTTTGCAAACATTTTCCTCTCTTAGTTTTCCTGTGCAATTAAATACTGTACTTTATCACAGTTGTGCCTTTATGTAAAGATCAATGGAACATTTGTTCAACATTGAGATAAAGTGATAAACTAAAACAGGTCTCGGCCTTCTGTTAATGGAACTTGATGCAGATGATGTGTGTTTGTGTAACTGTGTAAGTGTTGTCTTGTCCACCCACTGTCACACACGCTCAACGTCAACATTTGCTCAAATCCCTCAGCACCGGGACGGCTTGTAGCGTGTAAAAGCGCTGTGATCAGACATTATTCACACCACCTAGGGACTGGTTGGGAAGGTTGAGTCATGCACAGGCTAATTAAGTCATTTGCTGTAAACTTACATATCACATTGAAATCAACATTTCATTTTAAGCAGAAACCAAGTTAAAGCTGCTAAAAAAGACAAGCGACCCTAAAGAGATTTATTCATACCTTACAATTTATTCATTATGAACATTAAATGGATTTAATCTCTTATTATTATAATATTTCCCACAGGCTAAATTTAACAGCCCCAAATTATCTTGCACTCCTTAAAGAACAGCAATACATCTGTGGTCACAATCTTCTTATAATGTATCTGTTCTCTTCTACTTCAATAGTCAAAGTCCAGGGCATTTTAAAGACAGACCTCTGACGGTCTCCAACCTTAAGCATCACGTCTGGAGTCAGAGCTGGAGGGGAAGTGTGTGACAGGCAGCCAATCACAGAGCACCGGAGGCATCAAAGCCAATTACAGCAGTGGTCACATGACCACACTTGGCTGCATATGATTGGCATGGCCGCAGACAGTGGCTCACCCATCAACTTCATGCAAACTTCTGTGTGACCTTCACAGAATTCGTAATGAGAAAAGCAGTTAGTAGTACTAACTTAGCTTTTCACCTTCCATTGGTTTAAAAAAAAAAACACACACACACAAACACATAAATAATATATATATATTGTTTTCATATATATGAACATGTATATGATATTTTTCTTTATGACATATACACACACACACTATATATATATTGTGTGTGTGTGTGTGTGTGTGTGTGTGTGTCATATATATATAGAAAAATATCATATACATGTTCACATAAAGAAAAAAATATACATCTGCACACATATATCTGCACATATGTGTGTGGTTGATACATATATACATTATTTATGTGTATGTATATATACACACAAATAAATATAGCCTACTGTATATATATGATATATTTATATAGATTATGATATATATATTTTTATATATATATAGTGAATATATATATATACAGCATATTTATTTGTGTATACAGTAAAATAATTTGTGTGTGTGTGTGTGTGTATATATATATATATATATATATATATATATATATATATATTCTTTATATATATATAAAATTATATATTATTATAACTGTATATTTGCTTGTGATTTTCCTCATTTTTAAGTTAATTTGAAGGATTGTCCTATGTGCTTTTGGTCATCATAGCTTAACCTCATTTTAACCTTTGTGTTAACAGTATTTATAGACGACACTGACTTCAAATTGAGCTTATCAATTGATAATACAGTGCCATACAAGATAGGCTACACGCATGACAACGCCTCGTGGTCGACGCTTCTCCTCTCTCACTTTTATGCGCTGGCCCTTTAAATCTGAAGCTCATTAATGCGTTCGGGGGCCGAGCTTGTGTACGTGTGTCCAATCAGAGCGCGGGATGTTGATGCTGGAGTGGATGCAGGACACGGGACGCTGATGCTGATGCTGGGGGACCCGCACAGTGATGGAGCGGCGACGACGCTGAAGAGGTAACGAAACGGGATCTAACGACACACTGGCTTTCATTCACTCCGTTTAGGGAGAGTCTATATTAAAGATTGGAAATTAGAATGGATTTATCGATTTGAGCTAATTATATTCATTTTGAATGATGGAAAATGAGCTGAAATCCGCTGTAGTATGAACGAGATGAAGCGTCGATCGATGCTGTTTCAAATGCATTTGCTTGATGATTCATACATACTCGAAATTAAAATTTATATTAGTGCGAGTCTATCTTCATAATAAACGGTTGATATTTTCTCTATGGATGTTTCTGTGTGCGGTCTAAATGAGAATAATTCGATGTTAGAGATGACATTTATTAAGCTTAATAATGTTGATTACACCTATCATTTCTAAGTGCCAATATAGGTGTATTAGGCTACATCTTCAAATATATATTGCACTCTGTGGTTTTCTCAAAGATATCTTCTCATTTAGGAAAAAACATGGGCTTGTATGACTTGTCAGCCTCTAGGAGTGATTTTTGGGGGATGATTGACATTGCTGAAAGCCAATCAGAAAGCAGATGTTATCCGCGCAGCCAGTGGCTGAAGGATGAGGGAGGGCTTTCACATGCGGCTTCTGTCTGATCTTCAAAAGATACAATAATTTATTGTTTTTTGAATAGTGTCTCTGGCGACCCTTGATTACAAGGGACTTTATGGGATATTTTTTCCACAATGTGACCTACAGCCATCTGTAAGCGACGGTTTTGTATAGTGTGTGAACAGTCAGCATTGCTTCAAAATTATTTTATTAAGATATAATTGAGAAGAGAAACATACCACCATGTTTTATACCTGGAAATCTCTGGAAATGTTATGGGAATTTCTATAGTGAATACATCTTTAGATATGCATGGCTTTAAAATGTGCATGTGTGCAATGTTTAATTATTTTTTTTAAATCCAGTAAATATAAGATAAAGATTGATATTCACTAGTAAAAGGTGAGGGAAATGTTTATTAGGTTTTTTAAGGTAAAATTAATTAACTTTTGAGGAATAGTTTCAGCATTTGCTTTTCTTTTATTACATATGCCAACAAGTGATCTGCTCCAATTTGTGGTGATACACTTTTAGTGAATAAGATAGGCCTATTTTACCAGGGTAAAAAAATCTTCTTTTTTTGACTTGAGTTGAATTAAATTGTGGGTTCGAGCCATACACTGAACATTAATGTCTTGGTTAAACCATATTCCACACAACAAATATCGCTTGGCCAGTTCGTCTTTTAACATGTCGAGTTATTGAAGTCTGGGTAATTTGCCCTTTGTGCCTCTATGAACACACTGTTTCAAGTGTCAGTGAGTGTCAGAGAGAGAGTGGCTCATTATATGTACCCTACCACCTTGATTAAGCCATTTATGCTGGAGAGCAGCTGGCTTCTATATATTACTGACCAAAAAAAAGCTCTTTCTGTCATTCAATTCTCAGGAGAGTTTAAGGTTCTCTGCTGTTATTAACCAGCTCAGTCTCTGTTACCTATGTCCGTTGACACCAAAACGCGACGTTTGCTTGTTTAAATGATGCTGTTGGCAGATACTTTTATTTAAAATGACTTAGGGTGTGTTCACACTTGGCATGTTTGGTTTTTTTAATTGAAACGGGACGTGATGTCACAAGATACAACCCTAAAAACGACGGAATGCTCAAGCGTACCTGTTTTTTCTCGTCATAGGAGTTACGTTGCCCATTACAGTCCGGTATAGGCCTCGGAAATACCCTCTCTTTGCAGCAGATCTTTGTTTGTGTGTAACACAGAAATTCCTGGTACTGTTTTGACTCTGTTTTATAAGCTCTTCACAAGTTCCTAAGCTGGTAAAAATACCATCATATGGACAGACCTACAATGAGCGCGTTTAGCCCAGAAAACAGCATTGTTTTGAATGTTGGGTAAGTTACGTTGCAAAATATACGTCATAATTTTAATTCTTTAGGTTTTAATTCTTTAAATCTTTAGGTTCGGTCTTAAAAATGACAGTGTGAACACCTAAGCAAACCGGGATTAAATATATCATTTTCTTTTTTGGTCCGGACCAAAAGAACTAAGAGAACAGAACTACAAGTGTGAACACACAACTTAACATCGCATTATCTGGCATTTTACATTGAAATACTGTCAAACTGATGGGTTTTGCAAGGAAAGACAATTAAAAACTGTATATTTTACTGTAAAAACCAACAACATATTATTATATTTGATGGAATATAAATAGTTTTGTTTTTCTTCTCATATTTGTTATCAGGAAATGAACATTGGGATGTTTTGTGTTTCGTTTTCTGTTATTTAGTTCATGTTTATTGCATTATGTTAGTGTCATGTTGGTGTTGTTTTATGGACAGGAGACTTACAATAGATCTGATTCCTCGTGTGGCTTTCTCTTTTACCACCTGTATTATGGTTATCAGTACAGTTTAAGGTAAAAAGCCGATTTTGGTAGTTCAAGTATATGAAATACAGTTGTAAGTTGTAAAAAATGCAGGCACCAATATATAATCCAATAATACTGGAAACATTGTCATCGTATTTTTACAGTGAATTTCTAGCAATCGCAGTTGCCTTTTTACCGAAAATTTAACTGGATATTTTTGGAGTGACTTGTTGGAGGGTTCTTTTGACTCGTGGTAAGCAACCACCCAGAAAACAGGCAGGCAAGCCAAGTGGCAGATTATTTTTTTTTTTTTAAATCTTGGCATTTGGGTGCAGTCTTTTCCTTTTTTGTTTGTTTGTCCAGTATGGCATGCTATATATGGTCTCTGGCTGGAAAGATGAGGGCCGGACATGTCCTTTCTCTGGCATGGAAGTGCACAGATGACCAGGCCATCTGCATTCCGGCTTCGATTCGTTTCAGCATAAATGTACATTTCTCACTCTCTCTCCCTCACACGCCCATGAATGCCCACACATCCTCACTTTTCATACGAGTGAAAACAGGTGCTCTCTCCTTCATCATCTCAGTCACTGTTGCCATAGCAACCCTCTCCACATCATCAGCGTCATCCCAGCGAGCAGCAAGTGGTCCCCACCTCTGAGAAAAACTGCAGGGCACTTTTCATTTTGACTCATCTTTCCTGAAAGAAATTGAAGGAAGTTATGTTTTCTTCAAAATGAGAAGGAACAAAATGTCTCTCAGGAACTTACATCTTTGCATTTAGCTTAACTCTAGGCTGTTATGAAAGAGAGATATGCACAACTCTAAAATATTAATTGGCTAGAAATCTAGATTTGTCTGTGCAATATTTTTATCCAGTAGTACTGAAAAAGGGTTTAAGGTTAAATGAATGAACTGTACTTTCAGCATTTGTCAAGTCAAGTCACCTTATACAATACAGATTGTTTCAAAGAAGCTTCACAGTGATAAACAGGAAAGTAACAGAAACAATGATGCAAACCACTTCAAATATGAGACAAATTCAAATTCTGCTGTAAAGCAGCTCTTAAAAAAACAATAGTGTCATTATTCAGCTCAAGTCAGTTCAGCGTTGATTTAGTTTATCCATTATGAAATGATTTTGAATCAGCTATAAACAGCTCTACAGAAGACAATAGTGTTGTTATTCAGCTCCAGTCAGTTTAGAGTAGATTAAATGCATTACATATGCCAATAATCTGCTTCAGTTTGTTGTGATAGACTTGAATTAGATATCAGCATGAGTTCTGTGGGGGAAGACGTGTGTTATATATCCATGTAGAAACGATTGACTTGTGTTGAACTGATTTCTCAGTTTAAACTATGCACTGACCACAAATGTCTTGTTCCAGACAATAGTTGGCGATTTTGAAGTCTTCGACTGCATTTTAAAGTATGTTCTCTTTTCTAGGATGCACTAAACACCCTTGTCAATCAGCGAGGGGCTTTTCTCACGGACGCCTGGCTCTCCGTGTTACAGAAGCTTGTGAGATGTATGGCAGTGCGCGGGCCGTCGGCCACATGGAGGGCAGCCCCGCTCGCTCCCCGCGGCTGCCCCGCTCTCCTCGGTTGGGACACCGTCGGGCTAACAGCGGCAGCTCGGGTGGCAAGACCTTATCCATGGAGAACATCCAGTCCCTCAATGCTGCCTACGCCACGTCTGGCCCAATGTACCTGAGCGACCACGAAGCCGTTGGATCCACGGCTACCTACCCCAAAGGCACCATGACGCTGGGTCGGGCCACGAGTCGAGCGATGTACGGCGCTCGGGTCACGGCTATGGGCAGCACCCCTAACATCCACACGGCAGGAATCCCTCACGCCGACCTGCTGTCTTACGGTGACCTGGGCTCGCTGTCGATGCTCCACCACCAGGGGACGCCGTCTGCTCTGCTGCGGCAGGCGGTCAGGGGAGGTGGCGGGGAACTTTTGGAGCTCCAGGCACAGCTACGGGACATGCAGAGAGAAAACGATCTCCTTCGGAGGGAGCTGGACCTGAAGGACAGCAAGCTGGGCTCCTCCGCCAACAGCATCAAGAGCTTCTGGAGCCCCGAGTTGAAGAAAGAACGTATAATGAGGAAAGAGGAGGCAGCGCGCACTTCTATCCTCAAAGAACAGATGCGGGTGACCCATGAGGAGAATCAGGTAAGGATGGTTACCTTACCTTACATGAATAGACTCTAAAAATACCCTTGCACATTTTAAAATAAAGGTTCTTCAGAGGTTGTTTGCAGGACTTCTTCCTATTAAGGCCCATTTTCTGGGGTTCTTGAGATGTATGTATAGTTCTTTGGTGAAAAAAATATTGATGTTATATACATTATATGTTTTTCAAATTAGTATATTGGTTCTAGATATCATCCTTTGACAGAGGAAAAGCCCTTCTGTTTTTTTTTTCTTTGTACCACCAATATGTAGAACTTTCCAAAGAACCATAGAACTGAAAAAGGTTCTCAAATTATGTCAGCTTGTACTACAAAACCCTTTTTGGAACCTTTATTTTTAACAATGAATTTTGCTAAGATGTAAAAACAATAGATTATGGCATTTATAGATCATTTATTGTCTTCTCAATACTTTTGATAAGCTTAGCAAGTAGAGTTTGATGTACACTACCGTTCAAACTTTTGGGGTCAGTAGTTTTTTTTAAACACTCTTAGGGCTTGTTTACACAGAACATGCGTTTTTTTAAATTTGAACCTCATGGACGTACCGACGAATTGGGATCGCGGCAATTCGTCTGTTAGTCAACGTACGTCGAGCGTGACGACTGAAAGGGAACGTCTTGGTTACATATGTAACCATAGATATCCATAATAAAGGCTAGATGTCTCGTCCGCGCTGCTGGCCAATGGAGGTCGACGTCTGCACCTGGCGGCCATCTTGTCACAGGCAGCTCGCTTACTTGTAACATTGTGTTTTAATGGTGCATGTACTTTTTAAATAACCATAACTTGCTCAATTTTCAACCGATTTTCAAACGGTTTGGTTTGTTATTAACGTCAGAGATGTAGTTATGACACTGCATACTTATGAATAATAAGTAAATAATCATCCAGAATTATTGCCACGTTAATAACATTTGTAAGAAACCAAACCGTTTGTAAATCCGTCAAGATTTCAACGAGGTAAGAGTATTTGTGTTCGTGCTGATCACTCATCTTACATCAGGTACCACAGAGTCCGCCAGAAAGCTTGCCTGTGACAAGATGGCCGCCGTTGATGACGATAGAGACTCCGCCGTAAGACATCTAGCCTTTATTATGAATATCTATGTATGTAACCCTCATTCTCTGAAGGAGGGAACGGAGACGTCTACGAACGTTGAACGTAACCGACTGAAAACGCTGTGTCATGCGCGAGACGCTGCAAAAGACGCAAGACGCGAGTGCAACGGTTATACACGTCCGTCTAGTGAGTGTTTAAATAGAAAAAAAAATGGAAAAACATGTTCTTTGTGAACGGCCCCTTATTCAGCAAGGACTCATTCAATTGATCAAAAAACGACAATAAAGACATTTATGTGGTTATAAAATATTTCTATTTCAAATTTTGTTCTTTTGAACTTTTTATTCATGAGAGAATCCTGAAAAAAATACAAAAATATTTAGCAGCACAACTGTTTTCAACATTGATAATAATAAGAAATGTTTCTTGAACAGCAAGTCAGCATGTTAGAATGATTTCTGAAAAGTCAGCTTTGCCATTACAGAAATAAATACATCTTAAAATACATTAAAATAGAAAACGTTTATTTAAAATTGTAATGAAATTATACTGTTTTTACTGTATTTTTTATTAAATAAATGAGCAGCCTTGGTGAGCAGAAGAGTCTTCTTTCAAAAACATTTAAAAAATCAATCCAACCCCAAACTTTTGAACGGCAATTACAATTGTTAACCCAAAAATGAAAACTGGCATTGGTTTTTACTTACCCTCATGTTGGTCAAATCCGTGTTACTTTCATCTGTGGAACACAAAATGCTCAAAATGTAGAATGGAAAATGTGTATTCTTAAAATTTACAAGCAGTGTGAACACTGGAAGATCCTTTTCCACGGCACACAGAAAGTCATACAGGTTTGAAACGACATGGTGATTCCCTTTAAGACTAGTCTATTAGCTGGCTATCAGTAAAAGTTCCCTTCTTGAGGGAAACGCCTAGTCCATGAATTCTTGTGTTGCCAAGGTTGCTCTTTCTGCCTCCAGTTTTGGTGTCATCTGTGGGCTGTGCTCCTTTCTTCTCCTCCGTTCTGTGTCTCATTCAACTGTGTAATCACACTCTCACTCTTTTTTTTTCACCACCCACTCTCATGCTCTTTAAGTCTCTTCACAGCTGATTTCTTTTTTGGGTTGTCTGTCTTTTATGTGGCACTTCTGGAAAGAGGCTCTTATAATCATTAATATTTCATAATTTAATCGGATGTGGCAGTCTGTCAATGGACAGGCCAAAGCCACAAATACTGGAACACATTTTAGACAGGTCTGGCTCTAAAATTTAAGTAGATGAGCCACATTCAAAGCCATTGTAGAATATCTTATATTCAGATATGTGTGACCGCAAATCAGTTGAATTCTATTTTTATTCTGCCAAGTTGCTATATTACAAAATATTTACTCTTTTAAGACCCTCTACAAAGAATCGGTTACTGGTAAACCCTTTTAAAAAATAATTAAATGTTTATATTTACACTACTGTTCTAAAGCTTGGGGGTCGGTCAGATTTTTTAATATTTTTGAAAGAAGTCTTTTCTGTTTACCAAGGCTGTATTTCTTTAATCAAAAGTACAGTAAAAATTATTACAATTTAAAATAACTGTTTTCTATTTGAATAAATTGTAAAATGTAATTCATTCCTGTGATGCAAAGCTGAATTTTCAGCATCATTACTCCAGTCTTCAGTGTCACATGATCCTTCAGAAATCATTCTAATATGCTGATTTGCTGGTCTAGAAACATTTCTGATTATTATCAATGAAAACAGTTGTGTTGCTTCATATTTTTGTGGAAACCGTGATGCCGTTTTTTCAGGATTCTTTGATGAGTAGAAAGTTCAAAACAGCATTTATTTAAAACAGAAATCTTTTGTAACATCGTAAATGTCTTTACTGTCATGTTTGTTCAAATAGATGCATTCTTTCTGAATAAAAATATATATATATATATTTTTTAATAAAGCTGCAAAATATTTATAGTTAATTTTAAATGTCTGTCAATAGAGAAAATGATTTTTACTGCCAGATAATTCTTGAATATGACGGCTGTAGAAATGGAAGCTTCTCCTTACGAGCGAATCATGTGTCTGATAGTGGCATCACCGGCTTTTTGCTCTCTTTTGTATTTGCATTAGCTAAACTGGCTTTAAAATGTAGAAAGAAACACAGATTCTGATATAGTTGATATCAGATTTTATTCCTGGTTTATTGGAACATGATCTTGAAAACCAGTTTTGGAGATTTCGGTCTTTTCAGTAAACATACACTTTACATGCATGAGTGTTACCAATATGGCCGCCAAGTGAGCTGACTTTCCTGAAAGGGACTTGTGCTTAATACTGTACAGCTCTTTAGTGTTTAGTTTGACTGTATACACTGTGTAGCACAACCTCTCGTTCCTTTTTGATTACCGCTTTCAAAAAAAGAGTGATGGTTCAAGATGAGTTTCATGTATTCAACAGTTGAGGACTGGAGGCATTTGTTTTCTCACAGTCTCACCTCTGTCTATCTGTGTTTCTGTCTGCGAGTGGAGCATTGGCCTAGTTAAATCACACTCCGTCAGCACGCTGCACGAGGCCAGAAGAAGAAAAAATGTCAAGGACAAATGCTTGTCTGAGAGACTTTGTTTCCCTCCATCTGATTCCTTGTCTTCTCTGCCACCATTTCACTCTACCTCTGTCCATTATTCTCGCTCTCTCTGTCAACCAGCTCTCTCTTTGGCTCCTTTCCTGTCACACATCCTCACTCTGTGCTTCTTCCTCTCTCTTCCTCGTCCTGTGTCCTTCCCATCCATCTTGTTCTCCGTTACTCTATCCACCCATCCTCTAAGGCACCATATGGCATTTTCTCACATATTTTGGATGACAAATGGATCCTGTATATTGGAAACACCATGTCTCGCAAAGCATTCAGGCCTTTTAACCAGTTCACTAATTTGACTGAATTGCATTTCACATTGGAATTTAGTGACATTTTATTACTATGCGCTGGTGGGCAAATCCACAATTGTATGGAATTTCGGCTTTGTTTTATTCACCATCCTTAGTTGAGTTTAATCTGGTGTCATGTGTATTTAAATTAAGTCAATGCCATTCATTTAAACACAAATATGTCTCTTTTTATAGGCTTGTTATAGATTGCACTGCATTCACAAAAGTAAATTTGCCTACTGCAATTAAAAGTGTGTTTATAGAGACATTTTGGCATCTCCTGATTTACCATGCAACCAATTGTGACCCTGGACCACAAAACCAGTCTTATGGGTCATTTTCTTTAACTACGCATATTACTAACGAAGGGAAATAAATGAAATTTACACCATTGATTTACCACAACTAAACCTTTATACACACAACATTTCATTAAAATATTTCACCAGGAACATATAAAATTGAAGAGATCCACACATTGATCGAATTCGTCGTCTTCCAGTGCATGCTCCTTTGCCAAGCCGGTCTCATGGACATTCTGTATCATCTTCCCAATCATTTGCGAAAAAATCATTTACTATGTTCGTTAAATTATTGCTGTCATTAAAGTTTAAATTGAGCAAACGCACCATCTCAGAATCAATGGCTTGCACCGTAACCATTGCGGATTGTGTACACTGTGCACGCGAAGAAGTCGCCAGCCAATGAGAGGCGCTGTAGCAGGCCGTTACACAAGAAGGGTTTGTTTTTAACGCTCTCTATTGGCTTTGGAGAGTTATGAACCCGAAAGCGGGAAATCTAAGCTTGACATAGATACCAAACTTGAGTGGGTAATTCCCAAAGAGCGAGCAGCAGCGAGCGAAGTTTGGAGGCGTGTTTTCTGACCTTTTTTTTTTTGCGCGATTTTGCTGCATCCACTCACAATTTTTTTTTTTATATATATATATTTACGTTAGGAGATTTACAAAATATCTTCATGGAACATTATCTTTACTAAATAT